AGCATATGTGTGTGTTCGATATTTGGAATGTGACCTAAGTCACCTATATGGATCTGTTTGTATAACAGATAATGGAACACTCCAAATACCATAAGCACTGCAGCACACTGTAGTGGTTATAGTGCCAGAAGTGTCCTTGAGCCCCACTTTGCTCCCAATTCTAAATAGTCAGTATAGACAGGAAGCTTCCAGATATCGACTGTACGGTTTGAATACTTGCACTGGAGAGGGGGGCAGAGCACTCCTTGCACCATAACCACTGTAGAGCATTGTAGTGGTTGTGGTATGTTCCTTTAAAATAAGTGGGAGCTTGAAAACGTATTTTTTATGTGTTTTCTGTTGATTCGTTCTTATTGCACGTCCTTTCTTCTAATTATAAATACCAGAACGGTCAGGTTTTAACGCTTGTTCGATACTGCTAATAAAATCTTAAACATCTATACCTCCCTCTCTATATGACCTTTTTTTTTGTCACAGCACCTTAAACGTCCTGGACAGCTTGGATATTGAAATTATATAAGACGCCTATTCAATATAATGGATGAAGGTGGCATCGTTTTATGTTTTCAGCTGGCAAAATATTATGGTTAACCTGTCATTAGATTTGTGGTTTTAGTTTATGTCTGCACGTTCAGTGAAACCAAAAACATGAAATAAATAAATTATTATTAAAACGCAGGTCCTTGAGGCACTAAATATATTAATTGCCCCATTCTGTGTCTCTTGTCTTATGTAAAGTAGGGTCTTTGACTGTGCTTTTTCTTGTGTTTATGTGCAGTTAGAATTGTGATTTGATACAATCACTGTGGAGGTGTTAAATCTGTCAAGTCCATTTGCCTATAAATTGTTTAAAGAATTCCTGAAATGAATTGCCCAGTTTGTTTGATTTTTTATAATCTTTATTTTAAAGTTCAAAGTGTTACATAGTGGTAAAATTAAATGAATGCATCCAAAAAGAAATACCGACTTTATTTATACAATAATCCAATTATTGGAGTATATAAACAGATGACAGCTGTATAATAAGTAACCCTAAAACATCAAAATACATAAATAACAAATAAGAAGAACAAGGAAAGCATCAGTCGGAAAGAAAAAAAAAAGTATAAAAAATTGCCTAGTTTAAAAATCATTCAATTACCTAAAACACAGTTTAAAATAGTGCAGATAGTATGCCAACATTAAATCTATATGGTATATATCCATGTTTTTATGATTCACTTTTTCATTCAGTTATTCTGGAAGACTACCTCCTATTTCAGTTAGATAATGTGTTGTGTTTTTGCTTTGCATAATATGTATTTTAGTTGTTTTTGTTTGCAGCAAAGGCATTTACCGGTTTATGCACTTCCTCTTTACGTTTTCCCGCCTATACCAAAGCTATTCGGATGCCGCACCATTTTATTTTCGCCGCCATTTTGTTTCAGCGATCCGTGGATGTGGACCGCGGAGCGTGCTTTGAAGCACTGAAAAGAAGAATTTGTAGCCAGAAGAATGTAAAGAGAGTGGAGAGGAGAGAAAGGTAAGTGTAAAAAACGGGTTTGTGTGTGTGTGTGTGTGTGTGTATGTATGTGTGTGTCTGAGATTGATGTGAGTGTGTTTGGGACTATAAAACGGGCCTGGAATTATACTGTACAGTACTACTACATACTGTACAGGTAAAGTGGTTGCCATTATTTATGTAATTTATTAGAAAGAGATGTCAGGATGCATTAGATTCAGGTATGGGGGGGGGGTTGTCAGACAGATCTGGAAACATAAGTTGTGAAATGTAAGCCAGGTAGTGTCAGTCATTTAATCAGTCTAGCCATATGAAGTGTGTGTTTGTCTGACATTGTGCCATATTTTGGCAGGCAGCATAGCAAGGAGCAGAAGGAGGGTTGAAGAGCATGAAGAAAGGGGAGAAGGAGTAAAGCTTGAAAGCTCTAAAAAAACATAGGAGGAGAAGAGGTACAAGTCTTAAAGTAAGAGAGAAGGAGAAGAGATTGAGAGCTGTAAAAATAAAAGGAGCAAAATAAAAGTGATAAAGGAGAGGCACAAGCCTGAAAGTAAGAAAGAAGGAGAAGAACCTGAGAGCTGTAAAAATAAAGGAGGAAAAGAAAGTGACAGAGGAGAGTTGTAAGCCTGGAAGTAAGAAAGAAGGAGAAGAGATTGAAAGCTGTAAAAATAAAAAGAGCAAAATAATAGTGACGGGGGACAGAGCTTGACTGCCATGCAGACCAGATGTGTTCAGCAAGAGCTCCCACGTCTGGTTCCAAAGATTGGGTACTATGCCCAGTCCACTTACTCTTTTTGACAGCAGCCAGCATCCCTCCTGTTCACGGGTTGATGCTGCACCTGGGGATACCCGATAAGAGCATCTCCTCCGCTGGAACCAAAGGGAGACGGCCGCTTTCCCAGTTCACAGGCCGATAGTGTGGTTCCCGCCTAATGCGGTCCTCCCCCCCCCTTGGACCGGCAGGGGTTACCCCGGTCCCCACTGACCCACTCTACGTACCCTAATCAGCTACAAGCAGCTATCTCAGCACAGGTCCTGCCCACAGGAAAAGCTTTCAAGATGGCACAGTGCGTACTGAGCAGGAGCCCCGCTGCCTGAGCCAGTCCATCTGAGTGCAATAGATCGCCTAACACAACGCATCAACGCAACCTTTGACCGCTTCTGGGCACAACTGGAGGCTCGTCTCATGATGGTGCCGGCTCGGAGCCGGAGGAATGAGAGGGGTGGAGGTGAATGTGGAGTAAGCGGGCCCCCTCTGGATACAACTACCATGCCTATGCTTGAAGCACCCTTTACTGGCCCTCTTAGGCTGAGAGCACTAAGGGATATACTCCCTCGGCATCACCCACAGAGGCCGAAGCACCAACACCGCAGGAGGCAAAGAAACACCTGAAGCTTCCGCTACTCCCTTCCTGTGAAAGACCTGGACTCCATCGTGAGCCCAGAGTCAGTGATACCGAGATGCGGGCCCTCATCATGGCCTGGGGCGGGAGGGAGGGAGGTCATTCTCTGCACCTTTTTGGCAATATCTCATGGCTGTCTCTACCAACTCCAAAGTACTGGCATCGGCTGAGAACAAACTCACCTTGTAGGACTTATCACCAGTTATGCTCTGCAGTTTCCTGCTTGGCTGCTACCGCCGTCTTGTGCTCCAATGCCATTATTTCTTTATCTAAGCATTACTATTGTTTGTGCTACAGCAATAATTTTTTTTTACATAACTGACGTAGACCAGACGTGGCCTGGATGATTTAAATAAGGTTTACCTTAAGCGGATCATTAGTATTTCAAATATGGGGGACACAGTGGTCTATATGCCTTGTCTGTTTTAGCTTGACTGGCAGTACTTCACCTACGCATGTAAAATTGTTCTAGTCTAACTTATTATATACATGGTATATAATTATTAACTAAAAGCAGTGTCTCTTAAGCTTTTCCTATATAGTTGAGTGAATCTAGCATATGCACTATATAGTTAGTATTTTTCACTACTAGCATTCTCATGTCTGATGTACCCTACCTGCATACAAGCTTAGACCAAGACATATGAGACGTGTTTTTTATGCCTGCTTAATCGAAAAACACAAACAAAAAAGAGGCTGTCAATCTGGAGATTATATCAATGTGCATTTTATTGTGATGTTATCAGATCATCTGTTATAACTCCATTTCTTTTTTCTGTACCGTATTTTGAATGCCTCCATTAAAGAAAGATTGACAAAAATAAATAAAAGTGATAAAGGAGAGATGCAAGCCTGAAAGTAAGAAAGAAGGAGACGAGATTGAGAGCTGTAAAAATAAAAGGAGCAAAATAAAAGTGATAAAGGAGAGGTGCAAGCCTGAAAGTAAGAAAGAAGGAGACGAGATTGAGAGCTGTAAAAATAAAAGGAGCAAAATAAAGGTGATAAAGGAGAGGTGCAAGCCTGAAAGTAAGAAAGAAGGAGAAAAGATTGAGAGCTGTAAAAATAATAGGAGCAAAATAAAAGTGATAAAGGAGAGGTGCAAGCATGGAAGTAAAAGAGGAGAAGGAGGAGAACTTGAGAGCTGTAAAATTAAAGGAGGAAAAGAAAGTGATAAAAGAGAGAGGGAAGTTGAGAAAGAAGAAAATGAAGAAGGAGGGCTCATAATGCTGCCAAAAAGAAAGGATGCTACTGTTGGTGCAGGTAATGAAAATATAAAAAAACGAAAAGCCATAACATTGGAAACAAAATTGAACATTATAGCAGACCATGATGCTGAAAATTCCACTAAATAATTAGCTATCAAATATTCACTGTGATAAGTGATCAAACTGGATGGCTCCATATGCCCGTTACCTATGCTACCATTTGTGCTAAAACTTTATCACTTTTTGAGATTCTGAAACAAAGAAAAGAAGGCAACATTAAAGAAACATTTTCTGCAAGTAATGGGTGGTTTGATGGTTACAAAAAAAGAGGTGGTTGGCATAACATAAAAATCTTTGGATGATCTGCAAGTGCTGATACAGAAGCAGCTAAATTATTTCCTGCTAAGTTGGCAGAAATATCGGAAGAGGGAAATTACTCGCCATTACAGGTTTTCAATGTGGATAAAAGCTGTCTCTTTTGGAAGCGCATGCCATCAAGAAGCTACATTGCAAAAGAAGAATCATCAATGTCTGGTTTTAAACCAGCGAAAGATCGACTAACTTTATTGCTTGGTGGGAATGCAGTTGGGAGACTGTAAGTTAAAACCCATGATGGTGCATTGTGCAGAAAATCCTAGGGCACTTAAAAGAATTATGAAAAGTACACTGCCAGTCACATGGAAAGCCAATAAAAAAGGTTGGGTTACTGCTTCACTATTTGAAGATTGATTCTCACATTATTTTGTACCTGAAGTGAAAATATATTCTGAAGAATATTCTGAAGTTATTCTGCTTGTAGATAATGCACCCGATCATCCAGCTTCTCTTCAACATCACCACCCTAATGTCAAAATCATATTCTTGCCACCAAATACAACTTCCATTTTGCAACCAATGGACCAAGGTGTTATCGTCACATTTAAAGCACTGCACCTTCTGCAAACATTTGAAAGGCTGATTAAAGCAACAGATAACAAGACAGGTCCAAGTCTTAAAGATTTTTGGAGAAAATCATTTAATATTTTAGATGCAATAAAAATTACAGCATACGCCTGGAACAAAATTTCTGAGACAACCATGAAAGGTGTTTGGAAAAAGCTCTGCCCTCAGTTGTTTGGTACTAATGTTGAAGGGTTTGAAGAACCAGCAGAAATGGTACAGCAGAACACAGAAGCAATCGTTACTCTTGCCAACAGTTTGGATCTGGATGTCTCTGCAACTGACATAAATGACCTTCTTGAAGCACACAAGGAAGAACTAACAAATGAAGACCTCTTAGATATGGAAGAACAAGAGGAAGTTTAAGAGTTAGAAGATGTTACTGCACCTGTAACTCCTGTTTGTTATTTCACTTTTAAAGGCCTTGAGGAAGCATTTCAACACATAAAAAAGGCAATTAATATTTTTGAGATTCTAACTTTGAGAGCAGTACCAAAGTTGATAGAGATCTAAAAAAAAATGCTTATGCCTACTATGAGGTAATTTACAACAACAAAAAAAAGAATGTGTTGGAAGCAAACCACTATCACAGCTTGTTTACAGAAAGCTGATGTGACAAGTTCTGCCTCAAACAAACGAGTAACAAGTGAGGTGCAGCCTTTAACAAATACCAAACAACTGAGGGTGGACTGTGCGGTGCCCCATTCATCAAGTGCAACATGTCTCTTCATTGAGGACGATGATGATTGAGGATGATTTGATGAAGAATTCAATATGGTATGTATTTTTTTAATGTTCCTACAACATATATGTATTTGTTATGCCTATATTTTGTATTTGTACTTAATGATTTAGGTTTTCTATGGTAAAGTTTGTTGGTCAGGAACAGAACCAATGCTTATTACTTTGCGGTCTATGGGAAATTAGTTCTCACTTTAAGATCTCTCACTTTATGAACTAGGCTTCGGAACCAATTAGTTTGTAAAGTTGGGAACTACCAGTATATGACTAGAATTGAATGGAACACTAGGCACTGTAACTATTTCATTAAATTAAAGTGGTTATAATGTCTGGAGCCAAACAATATAAATAGATACTCATATCTATCTATTTATATTTTTGTATGCTGTTTTTTTCAAGGTATGTAGATAATTGGAGGTATCCACATCCAAGACTGATATTTGAGTGCCATTCCACAATACTTGTTGGCATATTGTCTGGTGCCCCTCTTTCCTTCAGCATTAAACCATGTGTTGTCAGGTGTTTCATAACTCTATACAGTGCCTTGCAAATGTGTTCATTCCCCTTGACTTTTTACCTATTTAGTTACATTACAACCTTAAGTTCAATGTTTTATTAATATGAATTTTATGTGATGGATCAGAACACAATAGTCTAAGTTGGTGAAGTGAAATGAGAAAAATATATACATAAAACTATTTTTTGAAATAGAAAACAGAAAATTGGCATGTGCTATTCACCATAAAAAGCTCTGCTGCAACCAATTACCTTCAGAAGTCATATAATTAGTGAAATGATGTCCACCTGTGTGCAATCTAAGAGTCACATGATCTGTCATTACATATACACACCTTTTTTGAAAGGACCCAGAGGCTGCAACACCTAAGCACCACTAACCAAACACTGCCATGAAGACCAAGGAACTCTCCAAACAAGTAAGGGACAATGTTGTTGAGAAGTACAAGTCAGGGTTAGGTTATAAAAAAATATCCAAATCTTTGATGATCTCCAGGAGCACCATCAAATCTATCATAACCAAATGGAAAGAACATGGCACCACAGCAAATCTGCCAAGAGATAGCTGCACACCAAAACTCACGGTCTGGGCAAGGAGGGCATTAATCAGAGAGGTAGCATAGAGACCTAAGGTAACCCTGGAGGAGCTGCAGAGTTCCACAACAGAGACTGGAGTATCTGTACATAGGACGACAATAAGAGTTGGGCTTTATGGTAGAGTGGCCAGAAGAAAGCCATTACTTTCAGCAAAAAACAAAATCACACGTTTTGAGTTTGCAAAAAGGCATGTGGGAGACTCCCGAAATGTATGGAGGAAGGTGCTCTGGACTGATGAGACTAAAATTGAACTTTTCGGCCATCAAAGAAAAGTCTGACGCAAACCCAACACATCACATCACCCAAAGAACACCATCCCTACAGTAAAACATGGTGGTGGCAGCATCATGCTGTGAGGATGTGTTTCAGAAGCCAGGACTGGGAAACTGGTCAGAGTTGAGGGAAAGATGGATTGTGCTAAATACAGGGATATTCTTTAGCAAAACCTGTACCACTCTGTATGAGATTTGAGGCTAGGACGGAGGTTCACCTTCCAGCAGGACAATGACCCCAAACACACTGCTAAAGCAACACTTGAGTGGTTTAAGGGGAAACATGTAAATGTGTTGGAATGGCCTAGTCAAAGCCCAGACCTCAATCCAATAGAAAATCTGTGGTCAGACTTAAAGGGACACTATAGTCACCCGAACAACTACAGCTTATTGAATTTGTTCTGGTGAGTAGAATCATTACCTTAAAAAAAAAACAAATCTTCAAAGTTGTGGGCATGTTCAGTAAATTAAATGATGCAAATCCTCAAACAATACATGTTAATTCCAGGTTGTGAGGCAACCAAACACAAAAAATGCTAAGGGGGGTTAATACTTTTGCAAGGCACTGTACTCCTTTGACTTTGGCTTGTGCACTGACCACTTTTTGCATAGCCCGGCCACTCTAAGGACCGGTATTGCAATTTCTTCTCTTGTGATCTGTCCATGTGTTTGGTTCTGTAATCGTGACATGTGTAATGTTTTAATGCTAAACACTATGTGTTGCTTGATATAATGAGGAAGCATAAGTCTGAGCAGCAATCGGCAGCTGTGATTGACTGAAGGTGTCAGCAGACAGTTTTTAGACTATCACAGTGCCCATTACTGGCATGAATTGCTATGCCTAGAAGAAAGTGGGTAATCTCTAGTTTAGTATTATTTCCAGTAGAGAACAAGCTGTGGGTGGCCAAGGGACCCTCATTCAGTGTTTAACTCCTAAAAAATAAAATGGTTTTTCACCTAACAGTGTAACCAGGGCCGGTGCATGGATTTTTGGCTACACAGGTGAAGATTCATTTTACTTCCCCCACATACAAAAAAAATTCATCTTCACTTGTCTCAAACCCATATTTAATTTCCTCAAAGCCTCTTTTGTATTTCTTACCCTCTTTTGAATGTCTTACCCTCTTTTGACCCTTTGTGTGTCGTACACCCCATTTAATGCATTTCATCCCCCTTTTGTGTGTCCCTTACTTTCTCACCAGCCCCTATGCATGTCTCTTACTCCCTCCACAATTAAAAAAACCCAGTAGGGATGTGCATGGGCAAAAAATTTGGTTCGGTACTTCCGAAATTCGGGACTTCGGCAATTCAGGACTTCGGCATTCGGCACTTCAGCAATTCGGCACTTCGGTTCGGCACTTCTGAAATTTGGGACTTTGGCAATTTGGGAATTTGGGAATTCTGCTCCTCGGTACTTCATGAACTTCAGGACTTTGGCACTTCGGGACTTTTGCAATTTCCTAACCCTAACCCTCCCCTATATCCAACCCCAACCCTACCCCAAACCCTAACTCTAACCCTACCCCTGCACATGTCTAAAAAACAGTCATACAGGCAGAGACACACACACACACAGTCATACAATCTACACATACATGTACACAGTCATACAGACACAGTCATACAGAGACATACAGACACAGACATACAATCACAGGTATGAAGAGAGATATAGACAAAGACATGGCCATAGGGAGACTTACACTTTTCAAAAAACAATAAGGAACTGCACTTAATTCCATCACTCTGAGTCAGGGTGCAACCAAACCAGGATCAAGCACCAGGTCCCAATATCAATATGAATAAAGTACAAAAGGGTTTGGGTACTCCAGAGTTCAGAAAGGCAATTTATTGAAGCCCAATGCAACACAATGTTTCGACCTACACAATCTTTGTTAAGCTATAAAATACAAATTTCCACATTGGAATTAGTGTAGGATCCACCGATATTGGGGTACTGTGAACTAGTGGTGGGCTTAAACTAATATAGACATATGGTTAAACTGAATCTCCATACTTGTTTGCTGAGATAGGTGATTTTAAGTAGCCTTATAAAATGTAAAAATTAAATTTTATGTGTGCACTGTTCCTTAATCTGTATTACGTATGTCAGTGTATGTCTGTGTCTGTATGTCAGTGTATGACTATATGCCTATGTCTCTATATGACCCTGTCTGTATATCTGTGTCTGTGTGATTGTCTGCGTCTGTATGCCTGTGTCTGTATGTCTATGTATGTCTGTGTATGACTGCGTCTGTATATCTATGTCTATATGTCTCCCTATGAATAAAGTACAAAAGGGTTTAGGCACTCCAGAGTTCAGAAAGGTAATTTACTGAAGCCCAATGCAACACAATGTTTCGGCCTACACATTCTTTGTCAAGCTATCAAATACACATACGACAAACATTTTTACATTTTATAAGGCTACTTAAAATCACCTATCTCAGCAAACAAGTATGAAGATTCAGTTTAACCATATGCCTTTATTATTTTAAGCCCACTACTTCACAGTACCCCAATATCGGTGGATCCTACACTAATTCCAATGTGGGAGACAAATTAAATAGTGGTAGTGCTAAATAAGCAAAAGTGTAAATTAGATTAAAACGCTGCTGTAAAATCATTGTGAATATACATAATGCAAAATGAATGTGATAAACGCAATTCAAAAAATGCAGTAGTAAAACTAAACAATTACAGAGATAGTGCTTTGATGTATATACTTACAATGCATATCATATATCTGCTCTCTGAAAATTATAATAAAAGTGACATTACTATCTAAAACTTCCTCAGATTTATACCTTTCTGTGGCCACCTCCAAAGGGGCGGGCTGAGCAGGCTTATACACTGACATACAGACACAGACATATATAGACATGCCAACACAGACATACAGACACAGACATTCATACAGACACCGATATATATGTAGGATCATACAGAGACATACAGACATAGGCATAAAGTACAGTCACCCACTGGCATACAAAAACAGATGTACAGTCACACACTGACATACAGACATAGTAAAACAGACATACCAACACAGTTATACACTGAAATAAAGACAAAGACATACATAGAAATTCAGATACAGTCACACACTGAAATACAATACTTTCACAATTACATACTTAAATATCAGTTCTGTGCAATCAGGTCCCTGGAGAGCATGAACTTTTGAGTTCCCTGCAGCCCAGGCTCATCACTATCATGCCCCCTAGGTATTCAGTA